TGTATACAGTAGTAGCGGTCAACAGTACATAATGTTGACCGCAAATCAACCAATCAGAATTGAGTATTTCAATTGAGGTACTATACCGATATATGCAGTAATCAGGGTTTCTCTTAACCGCAAACAAAACATAACTTTGTTTTTTTGGATATCAGCAGCCCTCCTATCTTTTGTTTCATTGCAAGGCATTCTACCATTTACAGGTGACATCCAGGTTAAGATGAATATTGTACTTTATTGTTTATTTATATAAGGGGACATCTAATGCTTACAGCGCTTTGCCCCTTGTAATTGTATCTAAATGACTTGTGCTTACAATAAATATGAAAGATGATAAAAAAACGTTGTTTTTGACAAAAAATCATCATTCAAGTTGTTTTTAAGAAATAATAAGGAATTTCCAATTGAGCCTCAGCACGGCAAACCCGGTTTTATCACAAAATGTGCGACACAGAGGCAAGAATGTGCCCAAGATTAAGAGGAAATGCACTAAATTCAAATCTGTCTTTTTGGTAGCTGCAATGGCAAATTGTTAAGACGAAAACCATGGCTCATTTGAAAGGTCTCTTTGTGCTCTTTAAAATCAAAATATTGAAAAACCTGTGATACGACCTCCTCTCCTTTCATATATCGCATAGTCATGATAACCAGTTGAATGGAGGTGGTGTGAAAAATATCTGAACTGTTCTAATTATTGTACTTGTAATGTTTGAATAGAGAAATAACAAAAATAAAAATAAAAAATGATAACCAGTTGTATTGACATCAAAATAACACACATTAGGTATAGTTGATATCAACACACAAGGCGCAGGTTTAGTAAGTATAAAATAATTTGTATACTGGACCATAATCTAGTACCCTCTGTAATGAAAAAAGGTGCACATGGTCCCTTCTCAATTATGTATTTTCTTATTTTTCGTTATTATCATATCAAACATTCAGAGGTATAACATATATAGGGTGTCTGGAAAGTAAAGATGTACATAGGCTCTAATTTCAAAAGATTTACCTGTTTCTTCAAAATGAAAAAGTTATGGTTGTCATGGTAACAGGAGTCATGGGTATGTGGAGCAGTGTCACGAGTGTGTTTTATAATTTTTTTCTGCTCATATCATAAGGGTTAATTTTTGGCTTTATATAACAAGCAAACATCCTCAATCAGGTCAGATCCTTAAAACAGACACCCAGCTTTCAAATGGTGCATACGAACCTAAGGACAAATAGCGAAATTCGTTGACCCTACTTTGCTCTATTAAATAGCGCCCTGTTTATTTTCTAAAGGGGAAAATAGTTGTATTTTTGTTTATTCACGGCGAATAAGTCGTTATCAATGGCTCGTTGTTTTCTACATTTCGATCGTAAACTTGTTTCCTTTATAAAAGCCTTGGTACTAAGAGTTGGGGTGAATTCAAAGTGATCTATCTCAACATGTATCGTCTTGCTTTGGACATAGATGGTCCAAAAAAGAAGACATGATGGTCTCAACGTTGGAACTGTAAATTGCGTATGGTCGCCTGTGACGAAGTTTTTGTCTTTTATTTTCAAGGTTTTGTATACACGATGGACAGAGGTAACGCGGCCCAGCCATACATGTCTGTCCAAAACGAGGCTGCGAAATAAAATGGCAGCTTTACGGAAGTCTGGAATGGTGACAAGGAGGATTGGCTCCCAGGATCAAAACTCGATATTTTCCAACAATATAACGTCGAAATGTCGTTATTTTCTGAAAATATAACCGACTATAAATTCAAAAAACATTTAAAAAGATTCAAACGAGATCATTTCTCGTGAGTTTTGTTAATTTTGTTCGTTTGGAAATAAGACCAAAATTCACGATTCAAATGTTGAAGTGAACAAGATGGCGGCTGTTTGAATTAGAATTTTGAATCACGGCGAAGCTCGCTATTATCTACAAGATTTACGAAAAAGAAAACCATGAAACTTTAAATAGATTGTAGTTCTAGCTTTTTCAATCTGAATGACCGGTGATTTCAAATCAACTTAACTGAATGACAGGTGCCCCCAGTGTCATTACGATGTCATCATTCGTAAGAACTAAGGTCTGAAGTTCCTCAAGATATTACGTTTACACCATGATAACGCACCACCCCACATAGCATACCTCACACAAAATGTGATTGATTCCATCGGTTGTGGCAGTTTGCGATAATGTCATGTCACATGCACTGTATTTCCCAGACTTAACTGGCTGTGATTTCTATCGTTTTCCCATTGAAGAACAAATTATGAGGTATCCACTTTGCGGACAGTAATGAGATTATTCGGGAATTCACATACCAATGTTACAAAGTAGGCAACGACACATCTTTCAGGACTGGGTGAAAAGGCATAACAACTGCTTACAAAACGCTGGTTATTACTTTGAAGGATTAGAATTGATGGAAGAATAATAATGACAGTTGACTATAAACATTAATGAATATACTTAATGAAATAATACAACCTATTACAGTATGTCACATATAGAAGGTAGCTCAAGAAAAATAGGGTCGGGAAATCATAATTTGTGTTGACTATTATTTTACACTGGTCAATGCCTGAAAAGAATTCTTGGGGCTTTACATACCTTGAGGGGTTGTTCACTAATTGTGAAGCATGTTTTCAAAAACGTACCTATATTTCGAGGAAATAGAGGAGGAAGTGACTGAATTATCGGAATTTTGGTCTGTAATGCGTTTTAGCCTCGTTTTGAATAGTTACGTGTGGCTGGAACGCGTTATCACTATCCACCTTGTGTAAAGAGGCAAATATTCGACTGGTATCAATAGACGTACGGTATACAAATGAAAAATGGATTTGTGTTTTGAAAAGGACATGCGCATGTTGCATGAATTAATGTGTCCCTGACCTGCTCCAAAATAATTTAAGTGTCATTGTCCGGTCTCCGTCACAAAAAATGAACATACCGTTTCAAAGTACTGATTTCCCTTATTAAGAAAATATATTTCATTTTGATTGTAACGGGGGCTTTTTTCTCTAAACTGGGGTCAAACAAGGGTACATTCTAAAAACACTTTCTTTTATATATTTTCTAAACTTACCATATAACTACATCTCAAGTATGATATCAATTGATTTGGATAAAAGTTCAGTACTTTTGATGTTTTGGTGTCAACACATTTTAAGTAATAAAAAACACTGTTTATTGCTTGGAAAAAGGTAATATGACACGAATAAAAAGTACAGGGTGACTAAAATGTTAGCCAAATAAATATCTATGATGGCTTAAGAATATGATGATATCCCCGTGTTAAGCCAATAGTGTATATCCCCATGTTAAGTCAATATACCCTTGCTCAAATCCTCATTTTTTAAGTCAGTAGTTGTTTTTTTGTGGCGGACACCCGGACAACCAACTCCTTATCTAGAGCTCTTAGAGAAATCAGATCAGGGACTATAGTACCCCCACAAGTTTTTGATAATAATTTTGAATGATGCGTGATTTGAACACGCTAACATATACTTTTTGTTATTAAATTCAGCACACATAAACTAGAGACAATTTCCAACTTTGGATTTTTTTGTTTTTTATTTTACTTTAATAACAATAAAATACAAGCGACTGATCAAGGGTGTCATTAATGCGTTTAAACCAATTTGACGTCATAAATCAAAATTAAGAATCGCTGATTTTATTTACTAATCACTTATTTGTACAATAACCCATTGTCAAAATCGGCCTTTATGGTATTTTTGAATAGTCTATCTGTAGTCTGTCTATAAATAGGACAGGTCCATCAACAAGGTCTTATGTTAGAAATGTTATACTTGCCCTAGATATCTAGTTGTCCAGTTGTTGTCATGGTTGTCATCATAAATATATGCATTGAAGCAATGTAGCAATTTGGTAAAACATTGGCCACTCTGTAGTATTTTGAAATTGAGCCAGGCCACGGGTAAAGGGGTCTTATCACAGATTTTTTCAATATTCTGATTTTTTGTTTATTTTAGAAAGCACAAAGAGACCTTTCAAATGAGCCCTGGCTTATGTCTTAACTATTTTTCCTTGCATATATAGACCAGAAAGTCGGATTTGAATTTAGCACATTTTCCTCTTAATCTTGGGCACATTTTTGGCTCTGTATTACAATTCTAATTTTTGTGATAAGACCGGTTTTCCTATGGCCAGGCTCAATAACTGCCATTTAATAAGCATTATCAAACATATGGGTCAATAAAAATTTCCAATGTTGGAAATCATCTCTAGTTAATGTGTCCTAATTCTAATAACAAAAAATAGCACAGGGTGAGCTATCTATTCAAATAACGAGTCAAAGATACTACCAGAAACTTGTGTGGGGTACTATATAAGTGTGGCACTGAATACACCAGGATACCTTAAATTAATCAGCAAACTATCTATACTATCTATTTGATGTTCGTTATGCTTCTTAGTCAAACAGAAAAGTGAGCGTTACCACTGGTGATACGCTGGTTACCGAAACGGTTCGTTTCGGTAACAAAATGTCGGAACGTCGAAGGTACGAGTCGTAGGCAGAATCCCCACCGCATTTTTTCTCACAAACGTGTATCAGTGTCATATGTTTTAGAAAATGTACATGATTGCGAAAAATAGCTCAGAAGACAACAGAATCGTCGATTTAATTCCTCACTTAAGTTACATAAACGGTAGGTATTAAAAGTGCAGATCTTAACTGTTTTTCGAAATACCGTTTATGTAACTTAAGTGAGGAATTAAATCGACGATTTTCGATTCCGTTATCTTCTGAACTATTTGTTCGAATTCGCAAATGTGTACATTTTCTTAAACATATGATACTGATACACGTGTGTGATGAAAATGTCGTGGGAATTCTGCCTACAACGTGTGAAATAAGAAAAAAAAGAAAAATCGTACCTTCGACGTTCCGACATTTTGTTACCGAAACGGTTTTATTTTGTGAATCTATACAAACTTAAAACGTTGATTTTCAAAAGAGTAATATGACGAATCGTCGATGATTAATAGCCTAAAGGGTCGGTGGAGTGAACAGCAAGAGTCAGAGACGTGATGATATTATAGTAGATACTCAAGAAGAAGTCGGTGAAATGAACAGCGAGAGTCAAATCCGTGATGGTTTTATGGTGGATAACAAAGAAGAGGTCGGCGGAGTGAACAGCAAGAGTCAACGCCGTGATGATATTATGGTGGATACTGAAGTAAAAGTCGATGAAATGAACAGCGAGAGTCAAAGCCGAGTTGATATTTCACCTGTTAAAGTGGATACTCATGTTGAACAGGATCTTAAGAGGTTCTGGACAAATCATTTGATTCTGGACTTGTCATATTTTTTTTTCAACGAAATCACATCCAAGGGTTGAATTTTTATTAGCTATTTAGAGAGTGAGTCCTGCCTAGTATTAATTTCAATAAAAAAAAGTTAAAATAGGACCCAATTTGAGAGTCAATCTAATACTTACATAACATTGATAAATTAAGGCAAATCCTGAAATATTTTTAAAGAGCATTTTTTATGAAATATTATCCAGCAAGTATTTAGATGAAACGGTCTTATTTAAATACAAATCATAACATTATGATATTTTTCATGAAACATTTTTCATTTAAATTTTTAATTTAGGTGAAAACCCTTACATGATGATGTGTTTTCATAACTTCTTTCATAAAATTCCATCAAGGGGTGAAGATAAAATGATCGAATTTAAGTGATTTAAGGATCACGAGAATATGTTTTCTTGGATATTTTCTATGAAATCCCATCCAATGGTCAAGGTAAAATTTTGATTTTGATTTGGTATTAGGTCACGTGTTCCAAAGATCCATATAAGGCCCATAGAACCATATAGGAACGTCATTTTGAATGTCACGTGATAGATCCATATAAGGCTTTTAGAACCATGTCGGGAAAGATGAGGGGAAGCCCCTGACACCTGTTTCACGATTTTATCCGAACGTTGTTCGGATCATTTCGGTTTTTATGCACTTCATTATTGTACCGAAGTTTGCCGATTCGATTCCTCGTATTTCGGAATCCTGGTGACAATTTTATACTCCATTTGGAGTAATTTTGATCTACTTCTTATGACGAAAATTCCCGAACCTTGTTCGGATTAATACGGATTTTCTGACCTACTTTATCTTCCGAGATTTCACGAGTTAACATTCGTCTCATTTCGGAATCCTGGTGACAATTTTATACTCCATTGGAGTATTTTTGATCTACTTCTTATGACGAAAATTCCCGAACCTAATTCGGATTAAACCGGATTTTCTGACCTACCTTATCTACCGAGATTTAACGAGTTACATTCGTCTCATTTCGGAATCCTGGTGACAATTTTATACTCCATTGGAGTATTTTTGATCTACTTCTTCTGGATTTTGCCCTACTTATTATATCTTGACAACAAGCAAATCAAAAAGTTCGACATGAACGGGTCTCGATCAACTAACCTATAGCGTGGAAGCCAGGCACGCTAACCATGATGCCAACGTGCCGCCGATATGAAAGAACAAAAGTAATATATATTTATACCGAGCGTCAATTCAAAATGATCCCCACTTTTGACTGCACTTAAATACGACTCGTCAGCTGTATCCAGAATAGGTAAACGCCTATGGCGCTAGTGAATAACCAAGTCCCAGGTGAGTGGTTCGTATCCCTCTGTGATATACTATTTTTGTTTTATTAAATACGACAGAAAGGAGCAAGGTGTAGCTTGAAAACAAGACGTTAGTTTGTTTCAAAACAGTTTGGAAACATTAAACATTAAACATTAATTTAAGATTTTCCACTCCTGAAGGGGCTCTAGATCTATGAAATTCATTAATCCACTCAGTAAAAATACGATTCCTCTGCAACCTGATGTCCAATCAAGATTATTGAAATATATATGTGTTCCTGACACGTTTGAGCGACCAGGAATAGCAAGGTCTACACAAAGTTTGCACGCGAAATTGACGTAATTCATGACTGAAATTGGGAAGACAAAATTTGAGATTCACAAACAAAATTGCTTGTGAAAACAATTTACAAAAGTGTTCCAGAGACTCTAATCTACTTGGCTAAGGTTTTATCTGAAGATTGCCTTATTAAGCAGGTAGAGGGGCATACAGAATACGGAAGCAAATGCTATGTTGAAAATGTTCTATATTTCAATTTGATACTCTTATTACATGTCACGTAGGCCAGTGTTTTATATGGGGATTATATGTACTTTACTTGTTTATATGAACGTAAATGATTACATGAAATCTGCATTCTTCCGGGTTTAATCTGGGTTTGTATTGTCTTATTGGGGCTTTTCGACTTTAAAACAAACCCTACCTAAATGGATTGTGTCTCGGGAACGTTTTTGTAAATAGTTATTGGAGAGGTTAAGCTAACGATGTTTTTCACAACGTAACCGTGAACGCAAAGTACGAAAATTAACAAAGGAATGTATCGAGCGCTCATAGTTTTATGCGCGCTTAGTCTACTTCAGATACTCTTTCAGCTTCAGATTTTCGGGTTTAGAACGGGAGATTTGAAATTTGACGTTGGGTCAACGGGAACCATTTTACACGTGTCTATTGAACACTATGCTGTCAATTTCGATGCACAGTTGAATTCTTGCTGAACACGATGATGTATGTCATGCATGATTTAGCGCCAAAAATCTTACGAAACGAGCTCGTTTAAAATATGTATTAGAAAACCAGCTATAAAACCGCATCAATGACATACTATAGAATCATTACACGCTATGGTGTAGTCTAAACAAACACTGGATTTGAACGGCTATTTATATGAGAAGGCTACATGAATTTGTATATGGTCGAGTGATACGTACAGGTTCAGTTTCGATTATATATGCAAAGCTTAACCTCTCCACCATAAACAATTCTGAAAGAATATCACATATTTTTGTCTTCTCGATTTCAGTCATGAATTACGTCAATTTCTCGTGCAAACATTGGGTAGACGTTGTCATACCCTGATGCCAGAACGTGTCAGGAACATATAGATACTCGAATGATGTTGATTGAACATCAGGGTGCAGAGAAATCGTAATTTTACTGAGTGGCTTCACGAAAAAATAAGCAGCACTTTAGGCCACCTTAAATACAACTCGTCAGTTGTATCCAGTTGGAATCCCAGCGTATTTTTTAAATTTTTTTTATTATATGGTTGTGCTTTGATTTTACGCTGAAAACATTTATAACTACGTCAACTTTATATTTAAACATTTATTATCTTTTCAGTTGTATTAAAATGTAAAATATGATATATGTCAGCTTATTGCTTTCTGGAGAACAGTCAAGGTTAAAATTTGGTACAATGAATCGGACACTCATGTAAATCGACATGGTTATAACATTGAGCTCAATGCAGTAAATTAGTTATTTCTATGAATCACAGCGGGATTGGATTGGTTTGATTTTATATGATTGCCAACTCTGGCGGTATTTTTGTAAATGCTTTTGACCGCGGTAGATGTGAAACTGATACAGTTGTGTATTATTCAATTGTTTTATGTCTTGGTCACATTTGCTCCGATTTTCACTATACGACGCCCGGCCGATTGAGTATTGTGCTCAGAAATGTATTCAATTTTTAACAAAATACTCGCAGCAAATGTGATCCAGGCATTGCGCAGCGGTATTTCGAAGATACTATTGTTGATTAACCACGACCCAGCCAATTTTAAAATCATACTAGTACCTAGATGTGACCTTGAAATAATGTTGGCCAATACACATTGACTTTGACCTTAGGTCACCTAATCATGTGTCGTCAATGGTCATTGTAGCCCTCAAGGTCCTTACAACGCCAAATACTTAGATATTTATTTTTGATCTTGAAACAAACTTGACCCAGTAACATTGGCCTTGAACTCAGTTCACCTAATCGTTGGTTGCCAAGGGTCACAGCAGCCCAAAGGACTTTAAATCACCAAAAACCTAGATATTGATATTTTACATAGGAATGACCTTGACTTCAGGTCACCTAATCATGCCTCATCAAGGGTCGAATCTCAGACCAAGGGTAAAAAACGCGTAAACCTAGATATTGACATTTTAAAGAGAGAATCGGATCTAGCAAGCAGTCTAACAAAAAAATTGTTTCAATTTTAGAATATTTCTGGCTTATGTCATTCCTTTTCATGTCTATTTTCTAAAAATCCCAAAAGTGCACACTTTATTTCAGGAAAACTAAAGAGTTTACAGCAATGACTTTTGTATATTTCTTCTATAAGAATGGTTACTTATTATTTATAATTTTTCACTTTTAATCTATTATAACTTAATCAATTTCTAACATATCGTAAATATTTTGTGAGATATTGTATTTGAGACTGTAAGGAATAGTGTACGTCAGTTGTACATGTTGCTTGTAATTTTGTCACCTCCATATATCTGATTCTGCCTTTAACCTAGAATGACTTTGACCTCTGACCTTAGTAGAACGCTCACTGGCCCATCAAGTATGAGGGCAAAAGGAGATGTCGAGACCTACTATAAAGCATGTTCGGTCTGTCTGTCATTTTGTCTGTCTGGCGGGACATCTCCTTCTACACCATTTAACCTTAGTAAGTTGGTCTCCGAAGGTCAGAGTTAAGTTCATGCAAAGGTAAACGATCAATGTCTAGGTATTTGGCGTTTGATTATACTATGGCCCTTGGCGAATTATGATTAGATGAACCGAGGTCAACATTAATGTTTCTTGTACAAGGTCATCCCAAGCTCAAAGATAAATATTTAGGTATTTTACGTTTCAAGACCTTTGGACAAATTCGATTCAATTCAAGAATCGGTCAAGGTCAAAAAATCAATATACGGGTATTTTGTATTTTTTTGTAAAGATGTATCAAAGTTAAAATGTATACAGAGATAAAATAGGTTAGCTCCTATCGTTTCCTTGTGTATACGTTTATGTCTCTGCGTAATAACGCAGATGCGAGCAGGTAGTTACCAGTCTCAACACAAGGTGGCTCGTTCGGGTCAGATAGCATGGCGGGTATGGTAGAAAGTTCCCTTTAACTTAAAGTACATCTTTTTTCGTGGTTCAATTTTCATATCACCCTTAAAATGTATCTAATAGCAATGCAAATTAAAATATGTCCAGTGAAAGAAAATGCAATACAAGAATAGATATTTCACTTTTTGTGATTTTGTAACAATGGGGTTATTTTTTGTATAACGCATTGAAACATCTTTAAAAAGTGAGCAATGTCAGTGTTGTGATAATAACGCCCCTCATACCTATTTATTACAGGTCGTGTAGACCATTGTTGCCTGATTTATTGCAAAAACATTGACTTTTGCACGTTGATGATGATGATGATGCGCCTTTTATAATAGATCTCAGTGTATATCAATGAAATCCAAAATGTAATATTTAGTTGATTCCACAGGCTAAAGTATGAAAATGTATAACATATATCTAAAAATTTTACACTGTCTTGATTAATGAATTTCATAGATCTAGAGGCCCTTCAGGAGTGGAAAATCTTAAATTATCAGAGATTAATGTTTCCAAACTGTTTTGAAACAAACTAACGTCTTGTTTTCAAACTACACTTTGCTCCTTTCTGTCGTATTTAATAAAACAAAAATAGTATACCACGGAGGGATACGAACCACTCACCTGGGACTTGGTTATTCACTAGCGCCTTAGGGGTTCACCTATTCTGGATACAACTGACGAGTCGTATTTAAGTGGAGTAAAAAGTGAGGATCATTTTGAATTGACGCTCGGTACAAATATATAATACTTTTGTTCTTTCATATCGGTAGCACGTTGGCCTCATGGTTAGCGTGCCTGGCTTCCACGCTATAGGTTAGTTGATCGAGACCCGTTCATGTCGAACTTTTTGATATGCTTGTTGTCAAGATATAATAAGTAGGGCAAAATCCAGAAAAGGTAGATCAAAAATACTCCAATGGAGTATAAAATTGTCACCAGGATTCCGAAATGAGACGAATGTAACTCGTTAAATCTCGGTAAATAAGGTAGGTCAGAAAAACTAGGTTCGGGAATTTTCGTCATAAGAAGTAGATCAAAAAAACTCCAATGGAGTATAAAATTGTCACCAGGATTCCGAAATGAGACGAATGTTAACTCGTGAAATCTCGGAAGATAAAGTAGGTCAGAAAATCCGGATTAATCCGAACAAGGTTCGGGAATTTTCGTCATAAGAAGTAGATCAAAAATACTCCAAATGGAGTATAAAATTGTCACCAGGATTCCGAAATACGACGAATCGAGTCGGCTAACTTCGGTACAATAATGAAGTGCATAAAAACCGAAATGATCCAAACAACGTTCGGATAAAATCGTGAAACAGGTGTCAGGGGCTTCCCCTCATCTTTCCCGACATGGTTCTAAAAGCCTTATATGGATCTATCACGTGACATTCAAAATAACGTTCCTATATGGTTCTATGGGCCTTATATGGATCTTTGGAACACGTGACCTAATACCAAATCAAAATCAAAATTTTACCTTGACCATTGGATGGGATTTTATAGAAAATATCCAAGGAAACAAATTCTCGTGATCCTTAAATCACTTAAATTCGATCATTTTATCTTCACCCCTTGATGGAATTTTATGAACGAAGTTATGAAAACACATCATCATGTAAGGGTTTTCACCTAAATTAAAAATGAAAAATGTTTCATGAAAAATATCATCATGTATTGATTTGTATTTAAATAAGACCGTTTCGTCTAAATACTTGCTGGATAATATTTCATAAAAAATGCACTTTAAAAATATTTCAGGATTTGCCTTAATTTATCAATGTAATGTGAGTATTAGATTGACTCTCAAATAGGGTTCTATTTTAACTTTTTTTATTGAAATTAATACTAGGCAGGACCCACTCTCTAAATAGCTAATAAAAATTCAACCCTTGGATGTGATTTCGTTGAAAAAAAATATGACAAGTCCAGAATCAAATGATTTGTCCAGAACCTCTTAAGATCCTGTTGTTGATAGATCTGGCACAACACTAGCAGAAAATCTAAAGTGGCCCACTACGTTACTGATATTTCTTGCTGCTATTGGTTCGGTAAATATAGTTTATTGAAGTATTTTTTTCAAATTGACTTCGTTAAATTTTTTTTGATGCGTTCATTGGTGTACCTCGAGGTTCGGAGGTTGATTTCATGGATGTTCAGATTTAGATCATTAAACATTGTCATATCAGACTTTTAAAAAATTGGTTTATTCGTTTATTATGTTAATAGGGAGTTTAAGTTGCATATAAAATCGAAACGCCAACCTATACGTATGACCAATCGCTCACACAAATGCATTCCGTTCACGTTTAGGCTATGAAAAACATTGCAAGCTCATCTCCCTATTATTTAGAATTTTTGACTTCCCTGAACCACTTTCTGAGCTTACACATGATGTTATTTCTTTCCGATATTTTTGAACCAATCGTACAATTCTTTTCAACATAAAATAAATTAGCATGCATGCTATCTATTAGTGTGAATTATTACTTATTGATAACAATGTATTACAACTAACCCCCCTATCACACCAAACTAGTTCTTACCCGTTCTTGCCAGTCCTACGAAAACGTCGTAAAACGGGCTCAATCTGGCTGTGGTCGGGAAATATGTCTAAAATAATTAGCTACTTCGTTCATAAACAGTCTTCAATACGTCCATCTCATTCGCAGTTCGTTCAATCGCATCGCGTCGGTGTGCAACGTCGTATAACGCGTCCCTAAGTCTACAGATTACAGAACGGTATAGTCGCCATCGAATTTTGAATCAATTCAAAATTCTAAATCACGTTCCCCGTCCGGGAAAGTCAATGAATCTCGTAAACAGACCGTAGAACGTTGTAGGTACGTTCATATGGAATTTATTTTGTATCAAAATTGGACATTACATGATGTATGGGAAAAATCGAACTATATGATGCGATACTCGAACTATATGATTCGAAACTCGCATCATACTATGCGAAATACGCATCATTATATGCGAAACTCGCATCATCGTATGCCATTTTCAATCCATGTTATACCAACAGTTAATTTTCTTACATAACTTATTTTCATTCACACACGCACTGGTTGTATCATGTGTCACACAAAGAGTTGGCACTAACTCCAATCACTTTCCAAAAATCCAAAAGCAATGTTGAAATGTCACACGGATTGTGTTATAAGTTGCATAGAATACTAAAAGAATTACACATGGATCAAAGTAAATTTCGAACGAACGTGTCAATTTAACACACGCATTGAGTTCAAACTCGCATAGGATGGTTCCCACTCGCATAGGCTGTCACAAACAAGTTGCACTTCACATAGGGTGCGATATTTAAAGTCACGTGATATTTACATCCTTGTTTCTACAATATGGCGCCCTCCGTTGAAATGTTATAAAATGTAAATTTTAAATTAAAAATATATAATAGGATACCCTAGGCCCTAGGCTAGGGAGACGTACAGTGGCCATTTATTGAGAAACTACAAACATCTTCCCAAGTAAAAAAATTCTAATTTAGACTTACTTTAGACCTAGTACCGCTCTAATGCCGCTCATATCCTTCTAAATTACTGGGCGGAATTGGAACGGTATTAAAATCTGTTAGTACCGACTAGCTGGTACTAGAGTTATATATTGCATCGGTGTTAAATCTGTTAATACCGACTAGTCGGTACTAGAGTTATATTACAGCGGTGTTAACTTATATTTAATCTTGTTGATACAGACTGAGCGGTATAAGAGCGGTATTACGTTATAAAAAATTAGGACATCTATACTAGATCGGTGTTAAATTGATCAGTATTGGAGCTGTAATAGAGCGGTATTAAATATCCCTGTCCAATACCGATGAATCGGTATTTGATCGGTACTTGATCGGTATTGGAGTTTCACTAAAGCCATATTAAATAGCATAGTCCTATACCGGTGCATCGTTATTAGAGCTATTTAATATCGGTACTAGGTCGGTATTTGGTCGGTATTTGGTTAAAGCTGATTGGCTGACAGGACTTCTAAATTAGCTCATTTGCATGATAAATTTTAGAAGGATTTCATCGGTATTAGTTCGGTATTAGACAACTACATTAGGTCGGTATAAGGTCGGTATAAGGTCGGCATTTAATATGCAACGTCCATTGGATTTTTTCACTTGGGTTTTTATCTTTTTGCCGCGCTGATGTGTTATTTCGTTTAGTGCAAAATTAACGCGAGATTTAGAACAAAATCTCGAACATCTCTAGAAAGCAATGTTACATCAAGGTGTGTGATCGGCACATCATGGTTTGTGAAGGGAAAAACGTTTGTGCGAGCCGCATAAGCATTTGTTCGACTTGTGTGCCCTGTTTGATGTCATGTTTAAACAATGCATACACAAATACGCATGTACAAGTGTGATTTTACAAACATAAAGTGTGCAAACTCGAACAAACCGCGTATGAAATCACACGGATTGTGTATGCATTCTGCTTAAACGCTATTCAATGTGTTAGAGATATCACATAAATATTAAGTTTAAAACCAGTTTTGACGACCAAGAGAACATTTTGAGCATGTTAGTTCTAGAGGACCTACCCGTTCGAGTACGTTCGATGAAGTTTGTAAACAGACCCCAAACTGTTCTAGGTACGTCCAGTCCGTTCGTACACAGCTGAAGCCCGTTTCCGAGAACGTAGTGAGAACTATTTTGGTGTGATAGTAGGGTTAAAATGATCAATTCTTGTAAAATTCAAAATAAATCTTATTTTTGGCTTGTTTATGCCACAATCGCACCCCTCCGGCTGAAAACCGAAATATTTTTGGTGATCGCACCCCCCCTGACTGAAAGATGGCTACGCCCCTGTCCTATGTGGTTTAAACTTTACCTAGGGCTTTTAAATGATTTCTATTTTAAAACTTACTAATGTGAACAAAGGGTGCGTCCAGTATGTCAGAACTAAAATGCAACAAATAGAAGGAATTACATTTGTTTTACATCATTTGATATTCCTACGTACCCTCTGCTATGGGATCATTTGAGCTTCTCACCCACCTCTCTGGTCAACATAAGTCTCTTGACGCTAGAGCCAAAAAAGAAAAAGGCAAAAAAACATCGAATCACAAACTTATTTAGGACATCGGCAACATATTGCACTTTTTTATTGCAAAGCAAAACTGCATATTTCGAATTCTTTGAGATAGACTTTAGTATTGAAGTATGTGAGTTGGATACTTTATTAATTATTATTGAAAAATGTTAACATTTTTATGAAACTTTTCCCCGGATATTGTTGTGACATGTTACTATAGCAACCGTTACTCTACATGTGCTTCGTTTTTTAAACTTTACTGTTTTAACTGCAATTTAGTTATTTATTTCTTTAGAAAAAATGTATATACAATAATAATACATGACTAATACTGACACCAAATGGCATATAAAAGTGTAATGTCAAGTATCAAAAAAAGTATCACTAGAAAATATATAAAAAAAATATAGTCTAACTAGTTTACAAGGGTATATAGGTATATGAGTTTCATATATACAAGTATTTACATGATATAACATAGTACAATGCATACACTAAGCATGTATGTACGTTGTGTTTAAATGATGTGTCATGACTATTGTAATATACAATGCGTGGATAGTAAATAAAAATGTTTAATATGGAAGTTGTCACATTGACGGGTATTATAACTATGTGTATCGCAGTTTATTTGGAATTTGTATCGAGTAGAGAATTGAGTATTTGGTCACCATCTCTTACTTGGTACATGAAAATTGCTGTATTCAGCTTATTTATATCATATATATTCAGAAGATTCAGAAGACCCCAATGTACTGAGAAATATTTTTTTCTAAGTTTTTGATATGCTCTTTGAAAGTTAAATTGGCATCAATAGCTATTCCTAAGAAAGATATAGTGATGTCTTGCTTGAGTTTGGTGTCATTTATTTTGAGAAAGTGATTGTTAGACGTTTTACTAGGTCCAAAGAGAATCCATTTAGTTTTGTCAATGTTTAAAGAAAGTTTATTGGCATTGATCCAGTCACTGAGCTTTGAAAGTTCTTCATTTGCGGTGTCAAATAGAGTGGGTAAATCTTTGCGAGAGGCCAAGAGATTGGTATCATCAGCAAATAGGATGAATTCAAAGAAATCAGAGGATTTGTAGATGTCATTTATGTAAAGAAGAAATAAAATAGGACCAAGCACTGAACCTTGAGGGACACCATGAGATAAAGAGGTTTGTTTAAAAATAACAGTCTGATGACGTTGAGTTAAGTAACTTTGAAACCATGAAAGGGTAACACCGCGCATTCCGTAGTGTGAAAGTTTATCTAATAATATATTATGATCAATAGTGTCAAATGCTTTTGAGAAGTCTAATGATATCCCTAGTGAAGGAATTTTGCTTTCATTTGCACATCTTATCTTTTCAATAAAAGTTAGAAGTGGCATGTATGTAGACTTTTTCTTCTTACAATGATGATCTTCAGATCAACCATGTATCATGTGAATCCCTGACCATCCAGCTTACCAACTCAAAAAATAAAAACACCCTAATCTCAATTACATATAAACCTCCTAACACTAATCAAGAGGAATTATATATTGATCTTCAAGCACTTCTTGATACTCCAAGGAAAAAAACAGTGTATATTCTTGGTGATTTTAATTGTGACATTTTAAAAGCAGAAAGCAACCATGCTACAATTTGCAATACTTAAATACAGTACAATATATGTTGTTAGTACCTCAGTGTAAATACTCGCATCTGATTGGTCAATTAGCGGTCAACATTTTTGCCTGTACCCCACCTGGGCATCATGGGATATCATATTATTGACCGCGTATGTTACTGTACTACACTTGTGAATAATGGGGAATATGACGTCATAATGTCTACAGAAAAAACATGGTAGACGGACATTTTGTAAACGTTGATGAAAGTCATATTTTGACTTTACTAGACGACAAGTATAGCAAAATACAAATAGAAACGTAAAATTAACATAAATTTACTAATGAGTACGCATTGCTGGCGTGGTTCGGAGAAAAGATTGTGAAATGAAGCCATACCGATTGATGATTGTCATCTATATGTGTATTATAATTAGTTTCTTCGGACTAACAAAACAATTGTAGACCTCTCCATTCGGTCAACCGTCAAAATCATATACCTCGACTGTAAACCTTGAAACTACTGTTGACCTCGACCTTCGGTCTCTGTCAACAGTACTTTCTCGGTTTACAGTCTCGGTATACAATTTTGACGGTTGACCTCTGGAGAGGTCAACAATTGTATACTCGTAAAAGTAAGAGTCCAACATTTGCAGGCTTAAGACAAGGGAAATGGTTCCAAATGTTTTGGCCTCTTTCTCAAAGCATATGCAAATTTATGAAAATTGTGACCCATATTGTATCTTGTTTAATATTCCAGGGTATGGTGTACTTTATATATGGCCCCACGTTGTTGGACCTAAGACACCACCTCCAAATCGACATTACAGAAATGTCTACCGCTTTCACCATGATAGCGTTCGGATCCCTGATAGGCGCAATAGTGAGTGGATATCTTAACGACCGCTTCAATCAAGCGCTGTCACTTGGGATAGCGATGTTGACCAACATGGGCCTTGTTATCGCAGTACCTTACTTCAAACATATCGCTCCTTTTCTCGTGTGCTGGGGACTGATAGGTGTTGGGGCGTCGGTCGTATATACAGGTAATCTTATATTTATGTGAATAAAATTAATCAATTTCAAAAATTATTTAATGATAGACAAAAGTATAGAGGTAAATATGTCAGAAATGCAAAAAATCTATCGATACTTATTGAACATAACAGTGAAGAATAGTCACAAACAATGTGATTTGATTTATTTACAGTACTGGTCGTGTTTGTGATAGCCATATGGGGGAAAAGAAGCAGCCCATTCGTGCAGTTTCTACATTTTTCACAGGGTGTTGGAGGTTGCATCGTCCCTCTTTTGGCAAATCCTTTCCTGGCGCCAACAAAATATGTAGACATTGAAAATAATGGAACATATTCTAACATGTCTAATGCAAGTTCTGGACCAGACAATGCATCAATGGTTGCGGAGACTACTGAACCTAACTTTCTCATAAATGAAAACAATGATATAACGGAGTCCAGTGTCAAGTATGCTTACCTTATTGTAGCTGTGTACTATGGGGTAGTGGGTCTGCTTTTCTTTCTTATTGCTATCAAAATGAAAACAATTCGTGCTTTGAGACAAGATGCCAAAACACTGAACAATGAGCAACCGACAGAGTCAACTAAGGCACCACTTAATAAACGCTATAGGGTCAAAATGCTGTTCTTAGTGACTTTGATCTTTTACGCACATGCCGGAGTTCAAATAACCCTTAATGTACTTATAACGACTTTCTGCGTTGAAGAACTCCAATGGACAAAATATCTTGGAACAGCTATAGCGTCGGTTTCTGGAGGTGCAATTACCCTTTCATGTCTTCTCGGAACTTTTGCAACTAAGATATTGTCGCAATCCCAAATGATATCAATACAGCTATTGATCATGCTCTTGTCAATGGTCACTATGGTAGTGTTTGTTCAGACGCACACTTATGTTTTATGGGTGACAGTCATTTTTACTGGATTATCAAGTGGCAGTATGATGGCTTCAATATATTCCTGGCTCCAAGAGAATGTGATGCCAGTAACGGGTATAGTAGTAAGCTGCAGTATGGTTGGTAAATCAGTGGGTGTGATGACAGTGCCCCTGTTGGCAGCTGCTCTAATGGAGAACGTACATTTCATGTGGTTTACGTATCTGCTACTTGGTATTGTTGTTTTGTTGGGGGTGATAGCCATATGCATATATGCATCTTTTAAAGTTCATATGAATAACCAAAACGCACAATGTGCTGTCGTGACATAAATCTTTTATTTCCTTTTAAAAGATAACGCAGATCGTTTAAGCAAATTGAACGCTCGTTTTTGATGTTGCCTCTGCCTGTTCATATATCAATAGTTTAAGCTTGTATTCGCGAATGTGTGACGAAGTCATAGCTGACCTCGTTGGTCAGTCTACTTGTTTCACTTCACATCAGTTGATGTCACAATGATCTTATTCTGTTACTCATATTTATAATTATTGCGTTATTTTGATTAGTTTATATTTGTATTATAACCATTGTTTTAGTGATCTTTGAACCCAGTGTGATATTTCACAATATCAACAGTTTAATTTCCAATGTTTTATCATCATATTAGAGCAGTTTTTAGGCATGAACTATATCTAGAGCCAATCAAACGAAAGGATTATTCTTGAGATATGAGTGGCAGAAATGATATATGAAGTCGACTGATGGGAAATTTTGCAATGTTTAGTTAAGATGTTCATACGTTTCGATAGTTTTTGGCATCATCTTGAAGACTGCAAATTTCTGATAAACAAAGTAAAAAGCGATTAAACCTAACGACCTGGAGTACAACTGACCAAAACATCAATACTGCTGTATATACTTTGCAAATGTTTATACCTTTATAATCTACATCACATTTTACGAATAATTGTATACTTTTTAGGGTGAAAATTGACTTATAAATATGTGTATCGGACATAAATTAGATAATGAGTTAAATTGGATAATTGGATTAAGCATCCAGAGTTCATGAGACGAGGCTCAGAGGTTTTGTCTAGACATTCCTTTCCCACCAAATTCTGCCAAATTCTCAAACTTTCGGTAAACATCCAAGATTCGTGGGCAGAAAATCATCACTATTCCTTATTGACTTTCTATAAAATTAAACATTTATTTTTAGGCCAATTTTAGTTAATGCGATTTCCTAATATTTTATTGGATAAGACCTCTTATTTCGGCTCTGCCCATTTCAAAATTAAGATATAAAAGAGGCATTTTTGGCATTGAAACCTCAGAACCTCGTTGCGTGAACTCGGGACTAACCAAAAAACTGTATGTAACTGATTGAAATGATATTTTTGGACTTTAACTTTTCTTTAATAAATTTATATTTTAAACTATATTTGTTTTCATGTTTTGTAAAAGATAGAGAGACTCAACTTCGCCACAAATGCAACTAACGGCTGGCGGCTATCGGATTAACCTACTATTTTATGACCAACTCATTTAAATATGAATGGAATAATGGCAGGTATTATTCATATTTAAATGAGTTGCCCATAAAATTGTAGGTCATTCTCGATACAAGCTGAGTACAGACCATGTAGTATGCATAATTGTAGTTTGGCCATGCCCTGATAATTCAGTGGCGTGCCTTAATAAATTCTAAACTCTACAGCTCTATTACGTTTCATCACGTTAACGGGCACGGGAAACAATTCTAGAGTCTTGTTGAGCTTGCCATCACAAGATACCGTGATGCAGAGGGGGAGAAACCCCAGGGTTCAAAGATGACATACGCTTATAATGTAAATCTGTATTGAGATGACACCGTCGCTGATTGGTTTAGCGAGTCGATCGTTGATTGGTTTAAAACTAGGTCAATTTGAAAACTTTGAAAACCAAGATGGAGGGTAAGTACTCCCGGGAAAGGAGGTGCGCGGAAATCGTATGTCATCAATTGAATCATGGGGTTTTCCCTCCTCTTCCGTGATGTATGGTTTTAGAGATAAATGAACCTGCTGGAGAGAGCTACCACCAAAAAGCTGCCTGCCCTACATAGTGTCGAAAATTACTCTGAAACCTTTAGAATTCATGTTTCAGTAGTAATTTAATACTTACCAGACATGTCTTTAAGAATAATTCCTTCCTGCTTTGCACTTTAATGATTTTATTCACATTATCCTTTTTGCTATTTTAAACCATGTGTTTCAAATTATATTTTCAGCATTAGATTATATATCGTATTCATATTCAACTTCTGTAATAGTGGTGAGGGGATAAGCTCTTAATTGGGCCCAATTTTCGTGTCAGTGACAGTTATAGAAAACTCTTAATTAAAGGCAAAATCAGATATATGGGGTGACAAAATTACAAGCAACATGTACAAATGACCTACAAATCTATTCCTTACCATCTCAAATACAATATCTCCCAAGAAATTCACGATATGTTGTCAATTGATGAAGTTATAATGGATTCAAAGTGCAAAAATGGGTGAAAAATGTTATTCTCCCAAATCATAAGAATGGTAACCCTTCTTATTGAAAAATAATACATTATTGTAAAAATACTTGGGGATTTTTAGAAAATAGATATGAAAAGAAATGACATAAGCCAGAAATATTCTAAAATTGAAACAATTTTTTGTTAACCCTACTAATTATCACACCAAACTAGTTCTCACTACTTTTCAGATCGGAAAATAATTTTGCAGTTATCTAGAGGACTTGACATGAGGATCAGTTTATCTTTTGAATTCTCGATTATGTCCCCTCTCAACCAGCGTGGTTCAAAAGTAAGCACTAACGTATTCTGAAGGTTGTTCTACTCATACCACATTCCATATTTTTTGAATCTTTCTATCTTTGGATCTAGTCCAATTTTAAAGTTGTTATGAATCATGACAACTGAGCGACGGTTCCAATACTTTTTAAAGTTCTGTCCTGTGACGAATTTTGTCCTGTCCAAAACTTTTATTTTAGGAGCACGATTGGTTTTTCGTTTCAACATAGGCCTTAAAATCCGATTTACATACACTTGGTCGTGTGTTGAGAATTTAGCGTCTGTTGCAAGTTTAGCTACTTTTTTAAAGACCCGGATGGACGCATTCATGTTTCTTACGAACATGAAGCCAGAATTAAGTTCTCCCTTGGCGATGTTTTCCTGTATGATAATGTCACAGTCGCTACAATTTAAATGCAGTAATGGATCCTTTTTGTAAACGATATCACCGTCAGTCAACAATGTATTGTATCCAAGTTGTAAACATTGCAATAACCAGTGTATCTTTGCATTCGTCTCTTTGTTAAACTGCATTGTACCATATCTCGCCAGTCCAGTTTTATTTGATTTAGTCCCAGCAAAATAGCATCGAACATCCATAGATTTCAATTTCCGAAAACTGAACTCATCTCTGCATATAGGTAACATAATATCTGTCAAATGTTTGTTTATTTTTTGGAGGGACAGTCTCATATTCCAAAACATTTTGAAATATGCCTTATCCACAAAAGTCAATATAACCAGGTTTTCTTTTGCATTGACCACGTGCTGCAAAGAATCTCGAAGAGAGGATTCTTTCCTAATTGCATCTACAAAATCTAATTTGACATGGGTTTCCTTTGCATTGGCTACGCGTTGCAAATCATCTCGAAGAGAGGACGAATATTTCTGATTTGTATCCACAAAACCTAGTTTGACCAGACTTCCATTTGTACTGGCAACGTGTTGCAAAGCATCTCGAATGGAAGAATACATCTGATTTGAATTATCTTTTGCATCCACCATAGTAGGTATACAAGGAATGCAAAACATATTGCTGGTATTACTGCAAAATAAAATCATGGAATTGTTTATGTACTTAAGGATTTAAGCTCATGGCTCAATGAATTGCTGCTTATTTAAAACATGCATTTTGTGTATAAAGACTTTAAATGAAGGCATTAGCTCGGAATCACAAAAGACTGCAAGGTATGTGAGTGCATTTGATCATCCACAATTCATTGGGTCGTGGGCTTGCAGTGAATTCCTTTCATCTACTGCAAAATATTTTGTATAGCACTACAGAAATAAAAAGGAATTCAACCAGATTTTTGGAGGAATTTGCAAGATAAATGCCATTTTGCTGTACATTATCCTACTTTGCAATGTACGGTCTAACAAAAGTATATCAATAAAATTTGTATTTGTAATGAATAATGTTTTGCAATGCTATTTTCACTGGAAGTATTTTTTATGAAGTTCAATCGTTCAAAAAATGTTAAACATTGAAATGCGTGCAAATGTGAAACCAATGCATATTTCTACTTTGCTTTAGTCTTCGTTAAACTCTAGTAGGTCATTATGCTTATTTCTTGCTGTTTTGGGTTCAACGCTCCCAAACCCAAAACAGCAAGAAATAAGCATAATGACCTACTAGATAACTGACCAGTCTTTTTAAGTATGACAAATTAATGGTTTTTTGTGCAGTTTAACGAAGACTAAATCAAAGTAGAAATATGACCTTCGAAATTGACCTTCGAATCTTTGTTAGATTCTTACTAATTGTCGACAGAGACCAGTATAGTTCTTTTTAAAATACAGTTGAATTATTTTCTAGTAGTAATAACGTTATTATCAAATTCGGAAGCTTTGAAATTTAGTAAGTAACCTGAAATGTTACCAAGAAATACCAAGAATTAGCATGATATATTTTAACTTAAAAATGCTAGACAAAATAAACCGCGATGACAATATCGAGTCAACCACTCTTCTAAGTTAATTAATATATCATGACAATGAATTCCATTCCATTGCTTTGCTTTTATTTTTCTGCAGAAATTTTGTTTGCAGGGAGACTTGATCCAACGGGAAGTTTCCAACTGGAAAACGAAAACTCTGAAATGTTTTTTCACTATTATAACTATCTACAAAATTTACACTGGGTCCAAATATATTCGTGGGATATTCATTCGTCAATCTGTGGAGGCTTCCTTTTCCTGTGAAGGATTTAGCTAAAGTCCCCAATCAAATCATCGCTAGTGCCATCTATCGTACTCTTATTTAACAATTATTGGTGCAATAATTTTAACTTTGAGTAGTGGGGCTCTTGAAAGCCCATGCTTTTATTTTTCTGATGCAATTTTGTTTACAAAATTTACACTGCCTTCAAATATATCCGGGATATTCATTCGTCAATCTGGAGGCTTCCTTTCTTGTGGAGTAACTATAAGTCCTCAATCAAATCATCAGTATCATATATCATCGTACCCCGATATAACAATTATTGGTGCAATAAGTTTAGCTTCACCGACACATCCGATTTTAATAGCGAAATAGGGCACATAGGTTAACATTTTTAGGTAAAATTTTGAGCAAGTATGCTCAACCGAAAAGAGTAGGACATGGTATTTCGATTCTCTAAGATGTTACCCAGGTAAAGCGATCTATGTGGTTATATAACTGAACACAATAGATACAAGGCAGCGTACAAGTCCGCATTAAATATTCGGGTCGTTCTTTCCCCGCGCGCTGAGTCTAATTATACATGTTATAAACTACCTCTCTTTTGAGAAGCGAAGTCAGACGAACGCAAAGGGTAGGTCGTTCTGTTTGCCTAAGCTCACTGCCTAATGGCCTAGTCACATAGCCCGGCCGATGAGGTTCCGATGAGCCAGCGATGCAATTTTCACCGAACTCGGCCGAACACCGGCCGGACACCGGCCGGACATCCGTGGCGTTTGTTGCTTAAAGCCGCATCGGTGGCAGCTCGGTGAAATTTTAACTTTGGAGTTAAATTTCACCGGGCTCTCACCGAGCTCCCTCATCGCAGCCCCATCGTAACCACATCAGAACACACGTCGGCCGGTGCACGGCCGAGTATCGGTCGGTGTCCCGTGCATCTGAGACAACCAGAGGACGAGGTTTTTTTAACGGACACCGGCCGAGCTCCGACCGAGCTCCGGCCGATGCGGGACAGAGCCTTGGAAAGTATAGTACCTGAAGATGTCCGGACGGAGTCCGTTCACGTCACCGAGCTCTGCTTCCGATGAGGAGAGCTCGGTGGCACCAAAAAAATCCACCGAGCTCTACCGATGCCGGACATCGGCCGGGCTATGTGACTAGGCCATTAATTACAATATCAGTTGTTTTTATCAATATACGTATGTGTACAACTATACTCAGTGGCGTAGCCAGCAAATGGTGACCAGGGGTTCATCGGTGTACCTCACATAAAAGCATTTTTTGTATTTGTCATACATACAATGTACACCCCTCCAAAAGTTTGGCAACAATTTGATTTTCTATGTTGAAATAGTTTTTGATGAATCTTTTACTGAAAAGATATTGAAATCTGGTAGCAAAATCATACATTTAGATTTAACATGCACTTGTTTAATTGTTCAATGGAATCCAAATCAAGGGTTAGCAAACATTGAGCCAACTTTTGTTAAGGGCAAATTATAACATATCTAAGGGACATGTTTTTGAAGAGCTACCATTGATAAATCGTCAATCCCAATTCATGCTTTAGAGTTCATTCAAAGATTGCAGACACATGCTATTTTCCCACACTTTTAGATGATTTTTGAAAAGAATCCAAATCAAAAGAATTTTATTTGATATTTCATTTTGTAATATCTCATGAACTTACAGCTATTTACTTTAAACTAGTATATTCAATAGCAAATATTTTTGAAGAATGTAATACTAATTTAATCATGGCGCACAATAAAAGTCGTAATGGCTGCACGAATACTCTCAATTGGTACTGACGATAAAAGTGAGAGATGACAAATAGTATTGTATTACATATGGAATGAAACATTCGATCACCGTTCCGCTGTTTTTATCATTAATGACGAGAATCATGAATGTTTTTAGAAATGAAAACAGTTTAGATGAACTTGTGAATCATTATAAACTTTGATTTGTTTTTTTAGGTCAGCAGCTGAGCAAATTTTAAAAAATAAGTTTGTCCCCTAGGTTTCTCACTGGATTCATGTAGAGCAATGTCTTGGGCTTATTTTGAGCTTGGGTTCTCGGTTCTAGCCCCGTCAACGAATGTGAAAATTGGTCCTATAGGTTGCGCCCCCTACAATTTACCCCCAAATTTAAAACTAATTATTATTTTCATAACTGAAATAATAAAACATCTCAAATAGCTTTAACTGATCAATGGTACATTAAATTATGCATTAAATTTTTTTCAATGTGTAAAAATCATAATTTATGGAGAAAGAGTTGATTGACCCCTTAAAACGCACCCTATTTTAAAGGGGGGACTTAAGTTAACTTCCGTAACTTTTGTGTTATTTAGCATTTGGGCTTAAAAATATTCCTGAATATGTGCAATTATAGTGTTGAGAGACTGCAGTAACCCTATGTTCATAGCTTTATCACTTTTTGAGAAAAAAATAAAACGTATATCCATATAATTTGGTTTCGTATTATTTTCAGATAAACCATCATCTATACTTTTTAATTTACTTCCCACACCTTATACCAATGCATAGTATTAATACTTTTCTTTCATTTTAAACCAATATAGATGACTGTAGTTCATATAAAATAAATAATAATAAAAAAATTCAGCAGAAATTATTGATTTACCCCTTATATAGGGGATACGGTAGCGGGGATACATACACTATAGCTTCTATAACTCACTGTAACTTATGTTTCGTTCAAGATTTAGGCTTGAAAATATCATTGAATTTGTAGACTTGTGTGTGTGGGAAACTTAATAGTTAACCTTTGCTCCTAAATAAATAAATAATTTACCATATGCTGTTGTCTTTGTAAATTATCTCAAATTCAGATTCTGTTGTCATTGACGATATCAAAGACGCTATATTGTGACGATTCACGACTCCATTTGATAGAAATTTGGATTTCATATAAAACATCATTAGCATAATACATGCACAGAATTAGTGATGATAAAATCCCATGAGAAACGAGGACTAAGTGATTAAAGAGTTGAAGCGACAGTTATGTCCGCCGTTTTTGACAACGGTATCTGACTTTATCAAATACTCAGCTTGACCCATTGGAATATGGCTTCATTCTTGAAAATGATCTTGCCACAAAGGATATTCCGTATATCACCTTATGATCTTATTTTACAATGTAATAAACCAGATGCGAATAGGCAGTTACCAGTTTCACCGCCAGGAGGCTAATTCAGGGCCGATAACATGGCAGGGTATTAGAAAGTTCTCCTATACTTGAATATTCATCCGCTTTAATATTTCAATTTTCATATTACCCTTATGTATCTGATAGTTATACACTGTTCAAATTAAAAGAAAATATTATCTGTCCAATACAAGCAAAGATATTTCACTTCTTGTGATTTTATTAACGTGGGGTCTATGGGGAATCTCTTCGACCTAGAAATTGCATTTTCAAAGAAAATTAAATTTTCAAAGTTGCAAAAACACATTATTTAGATGTAATTTTACATGTAGATTTCAAATATGATATCCTTTTGACTGAAGTTTGAATTGTTAATGGCGCAAATCAAGATTATTTCTACTTCCATCTAATTTATTATAGAAGTGTGGTACAGAACAGATTATGTAAACTGAACAAAATTAATTGTTGCATGTTTTGTAAGTGCAAGGGAAGTGGTAACTGTAATTACCATCTAATCAAGCTTTTAGAAAGTATTGTAAGTAATTCAAGAACTTATCAATCTGATGTCACTGTGATACTGTATGTATGTTTTTTCGAAGAATCATCATAACACAACCAGCAGAAAGTTTTTTCTTCATATGTTGTATCTTCGTATCTATTGGTCAGGAGGACGAGAAATAATATATATATTTGTTTAAGTGT